TTAATTTTAACAGAAAATAATGATAAATGTACAAAAATAATAGTTTTAATAAAAAAATATCATAAATAAGAATAGAGCAAAAGAGTGTCGAAATAACTTTAAATATAATATTGGCAAGAATAAACTTTAATAAAATACATTATACATTATTAATGTTGAAAAGTTTAAGCAAAATTAAATTATATTTGATAATTATATAGCAATATTTAAGAATATTGTTATTAAGAATTATGTTTAAAATACGATTTATCTTTTAACATCTTCGTATGATTGACCTACTATCATATTTAACTCTTTCGTTGCAAAAAATTTAGATGGATCTTCAACAATTTTAGAACGAGTGCTTGTCGAATTTCAAGCTTTTTAATATATAAAGTGGGCGTGTAATACAGACAGAGTGTAGATAACCCGCACTACATACTTACTAGAATAGTCATTATTTTTAAGCTTTCAACATTGAGATGTAAAACCCGCACCACCTCATTCATTATTGTAAAAAAGTAATTTTGGTTAAATTTGGTCATCGCTTTTCATAGTAAAACTAATACCTTCCCAGCTTCGCATCGAAGCTAAAAAGAATAGACATTTTAGTATTGGTACGATGAAAATATTTTTCACTGAACAAAATCCATTAATATTCCTAGCTGTCAAATCAAACTATAAAATTAGAAAAACAAAAAAAATGGACTATTAATGTTTTTCTCCTGCATCCTTCAAATAATAATAATTATAATCGATGTAAGAAAATATCAAAATAAAGAAAATTTAAAGCTATAAAACTTATATAAATAATAAAAAATTAATATTTTACAAAATTGTATAAATTAGATAAAAATTATAACACAACATAAATTGAAAAATGTTGAAATACGTTTAATACATAGAGTGGGTAATACCCACATGGGATGGATCTTTCGATCTTTGAAATTTTAATAAGAACCATTTTAACTTTATTTTATACATTATAATAGGCATTTTATGAAGATTTGAGATTTTTAAAAAAATTTAACTGGTTGCTCAACGTGTATTTAGTAAATTAACCAGAAATCTGCCTCTTATATTCAATTTTTGTTCAAATATAATTATTAGTATATCAAAATAGTTTGATTTTTACTGTAGAATATAAATTTTTTAGTTTCAAAATTTTAAGTCGAAAATTCATAGCGTGGATATCATAATTAAAGTCATTATATGGTATATTCCTCAAGTAATCTTAAAATAAAAAAAAAATTTTTTATATAATATATAAAAAATTTTTTAATACATATTATGTATTAAAATGTATATAATTTAATAAGTAATTATCCTAAAGTTGTTATAGGCCCATCAATTTTTTTTTTACAAAAAGTTCTAAAAAACACGATTTTTTATTATTGAAAATAAACAATATAAAAGAGTGCAAAAATTATAAAAAAAATTACAACGAAATGATTAAAGGATCAAATGTTATTAGAGTTTTACTGACAGATCTAACATGTCAGTTATATAAGCTAGTGAAATATTCGGACAATTCTTAGCTATATACTATATAGGTTAAGTTTTTCGGGAAAAAAATTATTCAATATACTCCTTAGAATTGTTCCATTAGGTAAAAATAAATTTGTACAAAATTTGGCGAAACTCAGTAACTTTAAGACGAATCGCAAAAGTATTGAAAATTCGACTGTAAGAGTGGTTTTACGATTTTCGTCACTTATCCCACAAACTGTGCTATTTACACAAAAAAATTTAGAACTTTTATGGAGATCAACAACAATAATTTTTTTTTATTGTATCTTTTAGAAGTGTTCCAAAAAAATGATGTATTAAAGTTGTCAGATTTTTTAATAGGTTTAATTTTACAACCATTCTTAAAACTTCTTATACATTTTAATTTATAATAATTTTTACTATTAGTTTTTTTCAAGTTTATTTATTTATCAGCCTAAAAATTATGTTTGGTACTGCAGGACTGTGATGTTATCAATAATCTAAGTGCAATGGAAATAGGTCGAGGTACTACAATAAAAGATACTGTGACGTCGCAACAGGTTCATATTAAAGTGATGTACTATACTCATTTGTGTTCCTGCGTCATCAATGAATTGTACAGTTGGATGGTGTTGTGTTTACACCGTGCCGTTGTTTTTCTATTATGTTTATAATGTTAATTAATAATTATTAATTATATAACGAGTAGATTTTACGAAGGACGAGAATCTGCAATTTCTTATTTTTACTTAAAACATATAACAGAAGATAATTAATAGATTACATCGAGATGTAACTTATTCGATTGCATCAGATGCCATTGAAGCTTCAGACAAAATTGTTGTACGAATACTTCAAAATACATCACTCAAGTCGCTGCTAATTACTCAATGTACTTTGATTTAAGTTTTCTCATAAGATGAGAGTAATCTAGTCTATCCACATGATAGTCCCAATTGGAGTAAAGTCAGGGCATTATTTTATATTATATAATTTAAATACTTTTATCTGTTTACTTTAAACTATTTACTAACATTAGTTTAATTTAAATTAACTTATATTTGAACAATGTTGATAACTATTGGTCAAATATAAATAACTCTTTCATAGATTAACCTATATTAGGCTAACAAATTATTATTTTATTGGTACATGAAGAAAATCTTTAAGGGGGTCAGTTGTCTAGTGGGTAGAAACGTATGTTTCGAGTTTAATCCTCAGGGTGCCAACGATTGTCCTTGTGATTTTGTCGTTAGTAGTGTTTGGTTTCTGTTGCAAGTCCAGTTTATAATACCCGTTCCGTCTATCGTTGGTCTAGCCAAGAACTATATTTAACTCCCTAACATGTGAAAGAGGGCCACCATCTTTTATAGCATTTATAAGGGATGTAAAAATCAAATCATAATCAAAACTTAAAGAAAATCTTAAATACTTTGTCTCATTGTCATAAATTCGAGAAAATACTGTATTCGAAGAAAGTTCTATGAGGGGTTTGAGGGGTGTGATTAATTTTCTGATTTAGCAATTTGGCGATAAGTTTAACAAATTTACCTTTTTTTTTTGTATTTAAAAGTGCGAAGTGAAAAAAATTGATCACATTACTTAGCGCCATATTATTTTTTTATTAAAAGTAATGCTTTGTCGATAAAACAAAAACATAATTGCAAAGAAGAATATTAAAAAAAATCTGAACAATAGACTCATAGAAATTTTAAAATAAGTACGCTGTTTTTGGTAGCCTTTAAACTTTAAACAGCTGTAACAGGTTGAAAATCGAATAAAATAAAAAAAATGTTTAAGCAAAATTTTTTTTCCAATTGAATGAATCTGATAATTAAAAAAAATTAAGGTTGCCATTTGAAAATTGACACGAGTTTAACGTATAAGTAATTGTAGCAGGAATGAATTATTCATGTAAAACAGATCAACAAAAAATCATTATCGTGAAGAAAAAATATTGTATTTTTAATTATAATTTAGTCATGATTAGCTCTAATATTTTCGAAGATATTTCGTGAGTCGTAGTTAAAGAATCACCTGTATACATACACACGTTATTTTTCCAAATTTCTGTATTAAATTTTTATAAAAGTATACATTGGCAAAATAATTTTATATCATTTCCAACGAACAACCAACTATAATTATATGAATTACTACATTTAATAAAATCATGAATACAGTTTTTACTAACAAAACAGTTTAAAGGGAAAAAATTTACATTAAAATGTTTATACCTAGGCGGAAAACAGAGTGAGTTCGAGAAATGTAAAGTTATAAAAGTAGCTACATTCGCGTTTTACCTCTTGTAATTACTTTAAATTGTTAATAATTTCTAAGACACTGGTCCAAAAGTTGTTATCTATCAGTAATTTTATTAGTAGGATCATTATCTAATAAATAAGCTAGTTAATTATGTATATTTCTATTTAAATAAATAAAATTGACACTTTTGTAAGGTATATTTCATGAACATTAAAAATACTTCACGAATGATAGATTGAACAAATTATGTATCTAATAGAATACAAAAAAAAGAATTATCTATATCATTTTTATTTTTCGATTAATTAAATGGTTCATGATAAAAAATCCCCTGATTTGTTATAAAACTACTATTTTAGACTACTATTTTTAAGTATGACATTTTCTAAAATATTGTTTACACATAAAAAAAATTTCAGATATGCATTGTGAATTTTGTATACTTTAGTATACATATATATATATGTCACAAAATATGTACAATACCATAAACATTTTTAGTATTGTAGCATTAAAATGTTTCCTCCAATTAATAATTGTTTTGCAGTTTCGAGTAAAATTTTTATTTTTGTATCAGTAACCATATCTTTAATATTACTAAGTTGTTATAATCAAGTTTACTGCCAAAACAACATTACTTGCTTCTATTCTAAGTATATGCTTTATTACTTAAACACCAGAGTTCATTATTTTAATGCAATTAAGTCAGTAAAACCACTTCCTACTGAAAAAGTTAAAGAATTTCTTGAAGAACTTGAATCTTTTGGAGAAGTCGTATTGGCAATGTTTGAACATATACATTATGAATATAAAAATAATTTTAAAGACTCACAAGTGACTAAATCTTTGAATCGTGATTCTCCTTTTAACAATGCCAGTGGCTTATTAATATTAAATTTGTATTTGAATAATGTTTCAAATACAATTAATGTAAAGACATTTTACGGTATAGAAGATGACAATGATATCCTAGGAGATTACGATAATTTTATTAAATTATTCAATAAGATTTCACCTGTCATAATTTATGAACTTAGTAGTACTATAGAAATAGAATGTTTTCAAAGAAAAAGAGCTATAAATATTCCTAATGATTTTTGTTATGATATAAGTTACTCTAGAAATATTTATAAGTATGATTATTTGACACAGGCTGTTACCTAAACTAGAAGAATACAATGTTAAACAAATTGTCGACAAAAAATTAAATAAAATGATAACTATGGAAAATTTAGAAGATTGATATAAAATGTTACTTATCTAAAATGAGAGAACAAAATTCGAATTTCTCACATGAAGTACAAAATAAATTTCATCCTAGTAACATATTACTTTTTGGCTTATTTACAGACAAAAGGAATGCAAATGAAAAAGATTTACTAACTGGTAGTTTAGACCCTATGAATTTACTTAGGAATGTCCAAATCAATGAGAAACTTGAAAATGGTAAATTCGCAAATGTGGCAGTGTTGTTTCAAATGGTTCAATTTTTATTCGATGTTCCCTGTGTTATTGCATACCAAAGGCAAATTTTAGCTGCTACGATACATCCTATATATTCATGTGTTGGAACATATGCGCAATTACTCAATAAAATATATTTTAGCAGTTACCAACATTCGAATGAAATAATATCTAGAACTAGTATATATAATAATATATTATATAAGTTGGGCAATTCCATAAAAGATTTATTAAACAATTTATTGAGCTTGAAACTATTTTCAGAATGCGTTCAACTTCATTTGGAGGGTACTCTAATGCAGCTTACTAAAATTTTTGGATCATTACATGCCGGCATTATTCCTAAATTATTATGGACTGAACAGCTATACCGAAGATGTGCTAAATCAATGACAATTAATTTATTAAAATTTGACAATATAGTGAATAATCCAAAAACATATAGTAAAAACGAATGCGATAACATAATAGTCTTGCTCAAAAATAAAATCGAAGATGCTAATTCGTTTGTTAACGTTTTAAATCTGTACAAGGAAGATTACCATAATATTATATACCCCATGCAAATATATAATAATACCATATTTAAAAATAATATTAAACGTAATATTGTAAAAGAAAATAGTCGTAGTAAGTATTATTATACAAATAATTTAAGAAAAAAAGGAACTTAAAAACAAGGATCGTCTAATTATTCCGAAATGTTAGTCCTTTAGTACCCCACGTACTATTTATATTAAAATTAAAAGATCTATTTTGACGAATATACGAGTAAAAATATTGCTATGTGCAATGAATTCCTTGTTGATTTACTGTCTTAATAACTCACAAAATTCGATTTTAAGATTATGTCATATTCAAATTCAAAATTAACTTTTCTTATTAGGTAACTCGTCAAGTTATCGAATAATCATTGTAAATTGTCCTAAAATATTAAGGATTTATTAAATTTTAAAATTATACAACAGATTTATTACTATGAAGTAATTTCTATTACCAGGATATAAACATATAATTTTATCTATTCTTAATTTTAAATCCTTTTAGTGATATCAAATAAAATCAAAACTTCTAAATTGAATTTAAAATCAAAAAACCAAGTAGGCCATTGTAATTTAACAAAATTTTGATTTTTCATAGCTATTTAAATGTCAACAACATTTTTATAAATTTGTTCATAATTGACATGCATTACAAATCAACAAAATTAATCAACTTTGATGCTAGAGTCAATATTTTAAGTTATATATGGTGTTACTTATTGGGGATTGTTCAGTAACTGGACCAGCTACCCTAATTACTTTTATCAAAACTTGAAAAATTTAAATTGAATCAGAATTAAACTAATTAGAAAATTTATAAATCTGTAGAGTTTAATAAGAGAATAAATTCTAAATTTTGTTTTCTCAATTATTAGTATAAGTGACTCAATAATACCAAATTTTTGTGTATATCGATATGAACACGGTAAAAAAAACCTTCATATTAATTCATATCTAATGCTAAAATATTGTTAATTTTTTTTTTTATTATTTCAGGTTACCACTTGAAGACTAATTATAGTTAATTTATACTAATTAATCAAAAGAATAACTTTTTCTATAGTGGAAATAACTGCACTTAAAAAAATATTTTAATTAAAGTATAAAAATTTCTTAATTTGAGAATAAGTAGAACATATGTTTTTGTGTTATTATAAAAATATTAATAAAGTTTGTTACTGTTAATTTTATTTTAAGATTATGATACAAGATGATTTTTGTAGCAAGTTAAAATTTTATTCATATATTAGTAAATCAACCAATGCAAAATAAAATTTTTATTTTTCATTAAAAAAGCACAACATTTAACACTTGATTGTAAAATCTAATTTTAAAAATAAGTTATGTTTGTTAAAAATTATTTCATAATATTATTTCTTAAATATAGTTAACATAAAATGATAAACCTTAAATTGTTATTCTATTAGCATGGGGATCGTTTTCATGGAAGCTAAGGGGTTTTTTGTCCTCACAAGACATAGTGTTAAATAACTGATTTTTAATGGTAAAGTATTTTATGAATGAACTTATCAAGTGAAATATGTTTATCTTCAGGTTTATTTATTTAATCATAAAAAAAATGTATTCCCCTATAAATATGACACTTATATTTACTTCGGTACTCGACATTTTTCTACATATTCGTAGTTTTTTTATTTTTTTTTAAGTATCTGAAATAGTCCTATTTTCCATGTTGTTGATTTTTTGAGTAAATAGAGAAAGGTGTGTTTGTTTGGACACACCTTCATATTCGTAACAGTTAAAGGTTAATTTAATGTCGAATAAAAGTAGATAATTTAATATTAAAGTTTAAATATCTATATTTAATATCCATTAATTAAACATTGATTTAGGTCCGGGGTTTCTCTAACTTTTTGCTCCTGCAAATAATACTAATTAATTTTAGGATAAGATTATATGTCGTATATTTAGTTTTTCAGTTATCCAAATATTCTTATCTGTAGAATAAAATCGTAGGCTTTTACATCTGGACTGAACATTGGATCTCTGGTAACACGTGTAAGATAAACGGAGCATGTGTCCAAGGACGATTATGTTACCAGAAAAGACTTTCTCTAATTGATTGTTTTAAGAGCACGCGTGTTTAGACATCTGCGGTTGTTTCTTTTTCTTAATCCGACTACTCGAAGGTGGTTTTCAGTCCTCGAGGCTAATATTCTATTCAGATGTGTCTACAGATGGGAAATCTACCGATAAATTTCTAGTTTATTTATGCATAACAGAGGTTATTAAAAAAATTTCGAAATCTCAAATTTTTGATCAAACATTGCCATTTCTATAACAAGCGCAAGTTCAGAATATGCCAAGTTCTTACTCAAGAATCTCTTCATTAAAATAAACACTTATAATAAGTACAATTTTATTAATATCCATTTTTATTATTTGAAATAAAAGTAAATTTATTTACTTTATTAAAAGTAAATAAATTTTTATTTACTTAAATTTTTTTCACTCAAGAATATACGAACAAAAATCATTTAACTATAGTGAATAATTGAGCAAAATATGATTGTCCCAACAAAAATGTTATGAGCATAACTAGGTTATTATAATTAAATTAAAGCTTATATTACATGCTATAAAATACAATATACAATTACTTTATATTTTTTTATAATTTCCCTATGAAAATTACAAAACAAAATTTTGAATATCAATTTCATACTGAATATAATTTTTATAAATGCACTTATTCATGTATTATACCAATAAATCATAAAACTTGTAACTTAGATATAAATAAAGAAATAGAAGTAGATGTTTCTATTGGAAAAACTCAATCATTCCTTCCATAAATTAAATACTATTTACAGATTTACATCGTAGTGTTTCTTTTTATAGTGATCTTAATCGCTGTCAAATATCATTTATACTTATCCTCATTGTGTTGGATTTTTTTTTATGCAACAAAACGTTTCAAAATTTTTAGAAACGCAATCCTACCCTTACACATTTTAATTTAAATGAATAGGGGTGCGATTTACTTGGTTATCAAAAAAATTTTATTCATAGTAGTTTGGTAAGTTATTAATTGAATGTCTACTGTAAACGATAATGTTGATAGAAATCTATTAATAGAATTTATTTTCAAGAATGGCATTGACATTAAATAACAGTATATTGTTATTTTACATACATATTATTTCTTGAACATAATAATTATTCTTCGAACTAATTTTTATAAAAATAATTTTATTATAATATTTAGACTTTTATTTTAAAAAAGGTATTCAACGAAAAATACCAACTTAATACGGTTATTAATCTGCTTAGATTAATATAAAAATTTTATTTGGAAGGTGATTGTGTACAAGTTTTTTTGTTGCATAGCCTCCTTAGAAAAAATCCTAATTTTATCATTGTTCCTAAAAATATGATAATTTAATTTAAAAAAAACTATAAATTAATTAAGTTAATTAGTTGAATTTTTAAATTGCATTGTTATGATATTAGTGGTTCACTCTATGATTTCATAATTTTAAATGAAACTTTTCCTTGAAGCTTATAAAACATACGAATAGAGTTCACTACTGTTATTAGTTATATATAAATAGTAAAGATAATTTATTACCTATGTAGCTAAGCAAATAATAATAATTTTAACAATCAGTTTAATCACAAATGAACCCGGTTAAGATTGATAAGATTTCAAATTTAATGGAATTCAAAGAATGCAAATAATAATACGGTTATTGAGACACGTATGCTGATTGCTTAATTATTAATTGATAATTACTGTTATTTAAAATGAATAGATGTTCAACAATTTGCTTATTTGATGTTGATGGAACAATTACAGATCCTAGACAGGTAAAAAAAACTTGTGTACTTAATTGGTTTTTAGTTGCTATTAATATTAAATGATATAGATAACTTGTTTTAATTGTAGCCCATAAACCCATCAGTAAGATCCTACCTTCTTAATGACCTCAAAAAAGTTTCAAGTGTTGGTCTAGTAAGTGGCTCTGATATATCCAAAATTAATGAACAAATTGGCGGTTTAGAATGTAGTGTATATGCTATATATTTTAGAGAGTTAAACTAATTATTTTCCTCAATTTTTTTAGTCATATCTCAGTTTGATTATGTTTTTGCGGAAAATGGATTGGTAGCGTTCAAAAATGGTGTAGAATTTAAGAAAAAAGTATGAATTCAGTTTATTTTTTATTTTAATTATATTAATGAGTACCTAATAATATAGAATCATAGACATATTTTAATTATTTATTTATGAAATGAGTTTAGTTAATAACTTTTTGAATATCACTTTTTTAATAAATATGTTTTGTATCTGTGGATGCATTATTTACTCTTGAAATGACATACATCTCATGATAATTTTTTGTATTATTGCAATTCAAACTAAAAAATTTGTTGTGCTATTTACTGGAAAGAATCTCCATTTATATTTACAATTTATTTGTAGTTTAAATAAAATTATTTCCTTGTTTGGAAAATTATATTATTGTCATTCTATGTATTTGTATTTTTAGCAAAATGTTATAAAATACAATTAATTATTTTCTGTAACCAATAAATAAAGTATTGTTCCTATTTATTTAGTGTCAAATTTATACTCATACTCTTTTTGTTAAACTTTAAATTAAAAAAAAATTTCTCTTTAATAAAGAGCAGAATTATATGTATTTATAATTTTTTTCAAGTTATTCCGAATACAATATTGATCAGTTTAAATATTTATTAAATAACTTGAAAACTTAGTAATGTGTTTTTACTGATGTTATATTATTGGGAGGATTAAAAGGATTAATCTCACCCTAAAACAAAAAAAATATTTCTATGCTACTATACAATCCTAAAACAAAATTGCACAATATCGGGACACTTCAAAGTGACTTAAACAAAATTTATAAATGCATATAATTATGTGATTTAGTATTTACTTATTTAAATAACTATGATACATACATGATTGAAATTATTAAAAAATTTTAAATTTAAACAAAACTTTATAAGAAAATTAGTTTAAATTTCCTTAAGTTTTGCACTCGTACTATATACTTTTCTTAAATATACAATTCATTTAAACATTATTTTAGGTTGTAAACATTTTTTACTTATTTAACTTTTATGTTAATAACAATGTGTATAAAATAATATTTATTAAAACTAGTTCACAGGAGAGCTCTACATGCCTCTTTATAGCTTTAAATTATTAACTAATACTCATAGTTAATTTAATTTTTTTTAGAATATTATCAATTATCTAGGTGAAGAAAAACTTCAAAGTTTCATTAATTTTGTTTTGGGCTATTTATCAAAAATTGAATTACCTTTCAAACGAGGAAATTTTGTTGAGTTTCGAACAGGCATGATCAATATTAGTCCTGTTGGCCGTTCTTGTTCAAATACAGAAAGAGTTGAATTTGAAAAATATGATAAAGTTCATAACATAAGAAAAAAGTTTATTGAAACCTTAAATAATGAACTACCAGACATTGGCCTGATTTATGCTATTGGTTAGTATTTTTAAGTATCTTATAATCCCAGATTATTTAAAATTATCTGTTAAATTTAATAATTAAAATAGAATTTATATTAAAAATCTATATTTGGTCGTTTATTATTATAGTAAAACTTAGTAAAAATAGTTTTAGCATAATAAGATCATTAATAAAGTATATTTATCTTAATTTAAGGCTCAATGAAATACACCAACTACTAACTATGTGATGATTGTTGATTAATGAAAAGGGCCTGTGCCAATAATCTGGCAACTTACATTTAAACATAGCAAAAAGAACCCTTATTTTTTGCTATAATTTATTGTAAAATAGTTTTACATATTTTTTTATTGTACTTCTTTATATCTTATATTATTCTATGAAAAAGTAAATTTTTAAAAAAGTGAAGTTAAAGCATGTCTTTTAATTAGCATAAACTAAATAGTTTACTGAAATTAGGTGCATTCCTATATTTTTATATTTCATTAAAAAAGGCAAAGGACTGAACATCATTGAAAAATTTTAAATAAAAATCATCTAGTAGTACTTGAAATTACCATGAAACAATGTCTTTGTAACATGTTCTTTTTATAATACTTTAAATCAAAATTATTTTATATATACATATAACTTCACTTGGTTTTATTTAATTTTTTATTTATTTTACTTATGTGATTAAACTAATGATTATTTAAAAAAAAAATTTTAATTATTATAAGTAAATAAGAAATAAATTATTAAATAATATTATTTCATGCGAATTTCGTCAGTTTTTTTTTTTATAGAAATTTTGACAAATAAAATTCTGAGTTAATTTCGTAAAAAAAAATTTAATAAAATATTTCCTTACTCAGTGTGCTCTTAAATATCCATTTCTAAAAACTTGTATTTATTATTCTTTTAAATAAAAGTTGTATACTAAATTGTTAAAACAAAAATTTATATTTATTTCTAATTTTTGTTTCATTATAATTGTCCATCTGAATTATTTTTTTAATAGTAACGTCTACAATAATTTTGATTGTAAATATTTTAATAAAATCATATCTGAGGAAATTGAACTCTCTAATTTCTCAATAAACCCCATTCCAAAATATAAAAAATTTGTAAAATTATTAAAAGGGTCTTTTTTATATGTATAAATGTTTTTATCATATTATAATAAAGAAATAATAAGCATATTATGCCGATTTAAAAAATAATTGAGGTATCATTTCACAAAATATTTTCTTCAACTGGATCGTTAGTCTTAGAAAGTATATAGGGAATTACGTCTAAAAAAGAAATATTGTATTAATTGGATCATATGACCAATGCAGTCGTTAAGATAACTTTACCACTAAGTCACACATTTGTGATTCAGATCTCAATATATTTCCATATAGGTTAATTGATAGCGAGATGTATGGATTAAAAACCGTTCTATTTCAAACTACACACATACCATGAAATAGTTCTAATTTATATTGAAATTATAAAATGCTGAAAATGACAATTGTTTCCATGCATATTTGTATACATCATTTTATGATTATTTTAATCTTGGTCAGATTTCAATCTATATTTATTTCTACCAACATCAGCACTAAAAATCGATGGATCTTGTGCAAATCCTTTTTGAATTGCTTTTAATAATTTTTTTTTTTAATGAAAAAAATTGTTTTTATTAGTTATTAAATGAGTTTGCAAGGCCTCATGAGGGGGCATGCCAAGAACTGGAAACCACTATGCTGGAATAAAAATTAATTGATTTTTAAAACAGTTGTATTATAATTTGAAAAAATCAATAATCAAAATGATAATTTTCTGCTTGATTAAAATTTGTATCATTACTAACTTATTTTGGATAAAATTTAAATATATTTAATTGTAATCATATCCCGTAAAAGTTTATATTGTTAATGGTTTTCATTATCAATAATAATTAAATTGATCTTAATTTTAAGCATCTTACAAATATATATTTATTTTATTATTTTTAGGTGGTCAAATAAGTTTTGACTGTTTTCCCGTTGGTTGGGATAAGCGCTTTTGTCTACGTTACTTAGAAGAAGAATTTAATGGAAAAATACATTTTTTTGGTGACAAAACTTATGTGGGAGGAAATGATCATGACATTTTTATTGATCCAAGAGTAATTGGTCATTCAGTCACAGACCCAAAAGACACTATTTCACAATTAAACAATTTATTTTTTAATAAAATATAAAGCAATACAAATATCTTATATTATATTGTATACATATTTTTAGCTTTATTATAAGCAGTTTATAAATAAAAATAATTATCACAACATTTGGAAAAGCTTAGATTAATTAAGTTTATACAAATTTAACAAGCTGATTATTGAACTCATTCATAAAAACAAATAATTGAGAAAACGTAGGTCTTTCATTAGGAGCAAGTGCCCAGCAGCATGCCATTACAGTAAATAATTCATCAGGACAATTAACTGGTTGATTCAGCCTAAAGCCATCTTGTAAATATGCAGACATTTCGAATGGATCTATATCCGCATATGGTTGTTGGCATAAAGTAAGAAGTTCCCATAAAAGAATACCAAAGGACCAGATATCAGATGCTGTACTAAACTTCTTGTGTTCTAAACTTTCAATTGCCATCCACTTGATAGGTCTATTTTTGTTGTCGCCCAAACAATGATAGTCACTAGGAAATAAGTCTCTTGAGAGAGCATTATCAGTGATAAGTACTTTGAATTCTTGATTTATAAGACAATTTCTAGCGGCAACATCTTTATGTAAATGCCTATTTTTATGCAAATATTGCATACCACTAATAATTTGTAAAGTCATATCAATTATTTCTCTAGTTGTTAATGTACAAGATAAATTTTCAGTTGTTTTACAAGTTTGTAAAAATTTTTTTAAATTTTTATTATTATTATAAGGATATAATAAAAATGGTTCTACATGTTGTTCAACAGATACTCCTTGAATAGTTAGAATATTCTTATGATTAAGGCCATACATACTTAAGCCTTCGTGTAAAAGAACAGATATTTGAACAGCGCTAGCTTGATCAGTAACAGTTTTCACAAAAACTTCTTCTTCTTCTCCATTTATATCAGTATAAGAACCTTTATAAACACGTCCAAAAGTTCCTTCCAATTCTATATTAAGTAATCTTACTCTTTGCCTTTGAATACTAAGTTCAACAATACATTCATGCAAATCTTTAATATTAGACTTTGATCCAGATAGTGATTTTTGATTAAATTTATTACTGGAATTCAATGCAGATTTTAAAAATGTATTTACTTCATTATTTTGGAAGCCTTTCACAATCATAAGATTTCGTGCGTTATCACGATGATAAGTAGATATCAAGCAACAAATAATAGCAAGACCTATTAATATTGATCCACCCGCAATCATATAATAGAAGAACACTTGTTCATAATAAAGTGGAAGTGAACGATTATCTTCTGTAGTATTAGATATTTCATTGAGATAATTGTCAACACAAAATTTTTTGAATCTAAGATGAATATTAGTTGAATCACTTTGCCAATTTTCTGATACTTGAACTAATACTTTAATAATTGCAATATCAGAATTAGGTAAACATGATAATGTAAAAGTAAAAGTTGATTTTGAATTAGGTACATCACCCTCCGATAGTGAATTAAGTTTTGGTAGAACTGTATCTTTATCTGATTGAATGGTTAATTTGTATAATAACTTATAATTGGTACTCCAAGTTAAGTTTAAAGTATTAATAAATGATGGCACTTCCAATGGATATTGCATGGCATTTAAATTGAGCTGATTGTGTCTGACATAGTATAAACGAGCAGATAAACCCATTAAGGATTCAACATCATTATAATCCAGGAACAAATCAAATTGTGAGCATTGAACAAAAGTAAGTAATAAGAATGGTAAAAAATATTTCATTATATTTTCGTGTGGTCACATGGACCTCAAAAGTGAATAAGTCATTTTGAACTTCTTTCATAAGTTACCTTGTAGGGCGTCTAGGGATAACGCGGAAGAGCTTTAGAACATTTCATTATCAAACACAAATATTTTCAATGAGGTAAATCAATAAAATTGGCAAAATCATTATTTTTTATTTAAAAAAATAACCAAATAGCTAGACAGTTAAAAACACACTAATAAAGTAATTTTTAATTCATTTTTTAAATAAAATATAAGTACAATAAAGATTGTGTAAACAAAAAACATTTAATTTATAAATGATATCACTAAAACAGGCACGCCAACTGTACCAGTCGGAAATTCTATATTATTCCTCATGAAGTCTTATCATTTGTAGTGTGATAAAATTATCATCAGAAATTTTAATGTATTAGAATATTTAAATTTATAATTTGTCTTAAAATTAAATTTTTATCTATAAATTTATTAAATATTGAGAAAAAATAATTTTTTTTGACAGATAGTAAGTATATTCTGGAAATCTTAGCCTTGTCTTATTAAATAAATTTGGACAGAAACACAATTAAATATTAGAAACCAACAGTAAAAAACACCTTCTTCTACATTTGAAAATATATAAAACATTTAATTTTTTAATTTTTTTCGGAGAAGAAAAAACAGGCTAAAAAAATTATTTAGGAACTCTTACTTAACGTCTCAGTTTTTTGTTCTCATTATAAATACTAATAGTTGAGTTAATATAAATTTCCTTGAAATTTAAATTTAAATATAATAGAATTTTAAAATATCCATATTTGATTATAATCTTATTTAGAAACACTATTGGTATAAAAGAAAGCCAAATGAGAAATAAATTTTTAAGGGTTGTGAAACTTAGTTTTACTTAAGTTTAAAATCTAATTAGGACCTCTTAATTATATAATTAACATTATATATCTTTGTTATTAAACGTCTATTCAGAAATATGTTAGGCTTTCATAAAAAGCAAAAAGTATATCTATTAGATTTTGAGCTAGTTACTAAAAATTATTATTTTCTATATTTTATTTACTATTATTTTAGCAAATTAAATATATATTTTAAAACTGAATCATTAAATTATGTTATAAAATAAAAGAAAATCTAATAAAGTTCAATGAGTTTAACTAAAGATGCGATGGAAATGTGTGGCAAACATTGTAAGAAAATATGCTACAAAATCCAATCAGTTCCATGTTGGTATAGTTGGTGCAGGCCCAGCAGGATTTTATTGTGCTCAGCAATTGATTAAAGTTAGAAATATTTCATAAAGTAAAACAATTTATTATTAATAAATAATTAATTATAATTATAATTAATAATTAACTAATATTATAAATAATAATTTTAATTTGTTAATATTTAGATTTTTTTTTTTATTAAATTACTATAGATTATTCCTGACTGCCAAATTGATATTATTGAAAAATTGCCTGTTCCATTTGGTCTTGTGCGTTATGGAGTGGCTCCTGATCACCCAGAAGTTAAAAATGTAATTAATACATTTACAAAAATAGCTTTGCACAAAAATGTACGTTTTATAGGTAATGTTACACTTGGGCAGGATTTAACTTTATCTCAGTTGAAACAGTCATATAATGCAGTTGTTTTGGTAAGTTCTTTCATGATAAATTATAAATTATTTCATTTAAATAATATTTTTATTTTTATACTGGTATTTAGGCGTATGGTGCTGAAGAGGATAGAAAATTAAATATACCTGGTGAAAATTTATCAAATGTTATATCAGCTTCAAAATTTGTTGGATGGTATAATGGCTTACCAGCCAATAAAAGTATTCATGAAAATTTGAATTTGGATGTTGAAGATGCTGTAATTGTAGGGCAAGGAAATGTAGCTTTAGATATTGCTAGAATACTTTTAACACCAGTTGATATCTTAAAGGTCAGTATCAGTAATGTTGGTTTTCATATTTGTAACGACTCGTGAAAATTTTGTTGAAATTTTACAATAAAGATAAAACTCATGATAAAAAAATAACTTGTGTATTAATTTATTAAACTGGTAGAAGAAAATAATAATATCCAAAAGTGTAAGCAATGCTATTATCTTCAACATATTGTACAATTTTCTATTAAGTTCTAAAAATTGTTAAATAAAATACATTTTATTGTATGGAGGCTTAAAATTAGTCCTTGGAACTTTATTCATTTATGAAGTTTATTTTAACCATCCTGAATACATTAATAATAAATAAATGTGTCATATTTATTTTTTTTACACTAAACAATGTATATTAATTAGGAATTTTGAGGAGTTGTAGGGGCATCACTGCTCCTAAAACAATAAATGTGCCCAATAAGTGATTTTGTTATAGGAGGGTATGAAAAATATTTATGATAAAAATCATAAAGGGGGAGGGGTACACCCCAGAATATTTTTTATTTGTTTATAACTATATCAAGATGTTTTTATGATAATTATGTTTTTAAATATGTGTAATTGACATTATTTTTTTAAGCCTGTTTTTAATATTTAATTTATTTTAGAATATCACTATATTAAAATAATCTATATACAGTATGATTTTTTTTATCATAACCCATTCAATTACTTACAGAATAAAAACAATTAAAACATTTTTTTTTTTTTTTTGTATCTTAAAAAGTATTACATAGTTAATAATTCAAGAACAATGTGTTTAAAAAAAATGTTTAAATTATATTTATTCTGTAAGTAATTGAGTGGGCTATGATAAAAAAATCACCCTGTATAAATAGTGATCAAGACTTAAAATTAATAATTTAATATTAGTATAACAATCAGTATCTTATATATATAATTTCCAAATTATAAAATATTTATAATGAAAATTATACAAAAATTAAAAATGCAACTATGCATAAATATTTTATACATTTTTTATTTNACGGAGATCTAATACCTATTCTCCTCCAATTTGACAGCCACTGGTCTCTTAGATAAATTTTCATGTTGCTAGATGTGGCTGAAGTGGTCCAAACAAATTTTATAAATGCTTAAAATTCTGAGTATTATTTATAATATTTTCAACTATGCATAAATATTTTATACATTTTTTATTTTTAATTAAACTCGATGTAGATTGAATTATTGAACAATATAAATAACTATCTGTTATTCAAGATTTTTTTTGTGATTAAAAAATAAGACCACTAGAAGTTATTTTATTGTACTTAAAGATATTATTCAGTATAGTGTATTTAAATAACTGTATGGCTATGAAAAATAATTCAGTATACACCTTAACACCTTGCATCTGTGTTTTTTTTTTTTTTTTTTTTTTTTTTTTTTTTTTTTAAA